CCTCAGAAATGGCACTGACATGGCCGCTATCCAGCAAGTTGTGTTTGGAAGATTCTTTCACTTCCAAGCAAGGCAGAAAGGCCATGACGGTCGCCTTTTCTGACTCTGCAGTGCACTCTGGTTCTACCGTATGTGGAGCGACCGAGGATGGTGTATCGGCAGGGGTCTCATCAGAAATGAGCGGTTCTTTAATGTGTGGCGACGCGTTGCTATCGTGCTTATCTGAAGTTTCACACTCAGTTACAGGAGCGCCTGGTGACTGCACCAGGTCTGCACTAACATGCTCGTTCAACTGATACATCTGCTCTATATTGCGTAAAGAATGTAACTTAATGACGGATTTATCCGCTGAATCATTAACCTCTACAGATTTGTCAGCATTACTCTCTATACCAGATATATCTTTTGAAGCATGCTTACTATTTACATTTAAATTATCGGTCTGACTTGAGGGGGCACTCTCGCTTTTCGAAATACTTTCAAACTGCTCAGATTCACTAGTTTCGGCCGCCGAAAGACTAGCACGATCAGCATTTACACGTTCTTCCCTCGATTCCTGTTCATCCGAAGACGCTTCTGACGAGAGTGTAGCTCTTGCAGCCTCTAGAATCACATTACTGAAATCGTACAGCTGGCACATTGTGATCTTATTAGCGATATAAATAAATCATTGTATATCATACGCAGGAACGAAACCAATTTTATGCACTAATGCTGGTAGAAAGAAAATTTTTAACGAAAACTGAAGTAAACCTGAATAATATCGAAGTATCTGTACCAAAACTGGACGGATGGAAGGCAGCACCGAGGCAAAGAAATCAGTTCGAACTTTGGAAATGAGAGGTTCGAATCCAGAGAAGGGACAATCTTTGTCTTAAGAGAGAATTCCCTTAACATCAAGGAACTGACCTCACAATATCTCTGTGTGTAACCAGCTGAGAAACGGGTAGCAAGCTCCTGACTTGGAAATAAGAGGAAGAATACGGTTTTCTGAGCGACCACAGAAGAATGAACGAAATGTACGACAATGCTGTTCAATACGGGCACC